GAGGAGGAGGAGGAGGAGGAGGAGGAGGAAGAGGAATAATAATAATAATAATAATAGTACGAATACTACTACTACTACTACTACTACGACTACGACTACTACTACTACTACTACTACTACTACTACTACTACTACTACTACTACTAATCATAATAATAATACTATTCAGAAGCATAATAATAATATTAATACTAATACTAATAATACTAATAATAAGAATATTAGTAATAATACTAATACTAATACTAATACTCATACTAATACTAATACTAATACTAATACTAATAATAATACTAATTATAGCAATACTAGTAATACTAGTAATAATACGACTAAGCAGAAGCAGAAAACGAATAAACAGAAGCAGACGCATACTCATAATCAGAAGCAGAAGAAGACGACGAAGGCGAAGAAGACTCATACTAATAATAAGAAGAAGACGAATAATAATAAGACGAATCGTAATAATAATACAAATAGTACCAATAAGAAACATATTCATACTAATCATAAGACGAATAATAATACGAACAATAACAATCATACGAATAAAAAGAACACTAATAATAATAATAACATGCAAGTGCTGAACTAATAAGTGCATGTTGTCTTGATAATTTCGGGTAGCGGAGCTGGGGTCCACGGACCTTGCCCGACAGGGCTGGTGAAATCTCTTTTCCACCTCAGCATGAACTGAGCCAAAACTGGCTCTCCACAGTACACAAATGTTACAACAGCGCATGCACAACAATCCTCACTCAAATCACTGATATATACCTTGTTTCCTGCACTCCTCCTCGGGCCCATCTGCAGCTTCATGCCAAGATTGGGCACGTACTTTGGAAACATCAATAACGAATCATGCCAGCGAGTGAGGGTGCCAAATCCCGACAAACCCATCAACACTGTAGATCTTGTCCTGCCTGACCTCGTTGAGGGCGGTAGCCGCGCATGCTTCGACCGCCATCGCCTTCGTATACGTCGAGATAGCCCGATCCACCCGCCGTAGTCGTAGAAACTCCCGTCCACTGTCTATGGTCATAGCTGTGAACATAGCCCGAAGATCATTGGCCACGATCTTGCTCGTAGCTCCATTCTTCATCCTTCAGGCTGTACTGAGTTGAGGCATCTTTCTGCGCTGGCTGCAGGATGCGGTCGATATGCTGCTTAACTTTGAAGACTATCACGACCGTTGTGGAAACGCCAAAATTGCTCTCATCATCTGCAGGGCTCGAGATCGCGACTGGCTGGTATTCACCTTTATTTATCTCAGTTGCATCTGCGCGTCCAACTTGAAGAAACGCACCAGGACCCACCAAGCATTGGGTAAGTGCACCCATTAGCTCCAGCGCAGGTCTACCGATCTGGCCCTCCTTGTCGTTGTTTGAACTCGAAACTCCTCCAACCCCACCTTTTCCAGTGAGCCATCCCTTCATTGCCGTCAGATGCTTCATGAAATCGATCCTCGACACATGCTTCGTCCCGATGTCGGCGGTATTCTCCTCGGTATGGACCTTGTTGGTGCTGGCCTTCGTCTCTGCCTTCCGTGCGACGAGGTCCTTTATCCACAGGTCCTTCAGCTCGATATGCCGCATCCTACCAAATCCCTTCTTCTCGACGTGCGTGAGCGCGCTAGAGTTGTCACTCTCCAGCGTCACAGGCACTGTGTCGTCCAGGAGCTCCTTG